GGGGGTAGATGTGATAGCGGGAGCCTGTAGAAACTTTCTAAATTAAAAAAAAAAAAAAAAAAAAAAGGTCATAAGCTAAGTGAGGATGGGAACGGCTTTAACATTCTGAGTCTTCAACGAGAAAGAATAAATGGGATGGAGATGTAGGACTGTGAGATGGCACTAGTCTACATGAGGTCACGACTTTAAAAAGACTGAAGTAGCACGTTCAGTTCTACAAGTGCTTAAGTGCAGAGAAGGTGGAGTACTGAACTTAACCAAAGATGAGTTTAGCCAGGCAAGTACAATGAAAGCAACTTACCATTGAGCCAAGAGTGATTGTCACAATGGACCACAGAATCTAAGCTGGATAACAAAGAACATGAGGGGTTGAACATTAAAAACAGGTGACAGGATCAATGAATTGTAATATAGTACTAAAACCACCCACTATAACATGAGGGGTTGAACATTAAAAACAGGTGACAGGATCAATGAATTGTAATATAGTACTAAAATCACCCACTATAATTGTAATGGACCACAGAATCTAAGCTGGATAACAAAGAACATGAGGGGTTGAACATTAAAAACAGGTGACAGGATCAATGAATTGTAATATAGTACTAAAATCACCCACTATAATTGTTTGTATGTCTACACATGACTCCCACCTCTAGAATGAACTCCAAAGTGGCATCAGTGTCTTATCTTTTAATTCTTAGTACCTCAACATCTAAGTTTGTTACCTGGATGAATGGATGCCATGGCTAAATGGAAATTCCCCATCCCCAAATATATGATATCCCCTGTGATATATGAAGTTGCTACTTTCTGGGGTTTTTGGCAGCTGGCCAGTACAGGAATCCTAAGCCTTGACCTTGGTGTTAAAACACCAAGCTCTAACTAACTGAGCTAACCAGCCAGCTCCCTCAATGCTCTTTAAGAGTTTAAAAAGTTGCAATGCTTCATCAAAACCTATGGTATGAACAAATCCTTTGCAATGAAACAAGATGCTAAATTCCCAGTGTTGTGTCCAAGAACTGAACCAGAAAACGTATCAGATGTATCCCAACTATAGTTAAATTTGCTCTTACTGAACACCTGGGTGGCAGGAAATATTTGAACTTCCCAACCTCTAATTATTTCACCTCCTTGCAGTAAATTAGCAGGACCCAAAACAAACCTTGAGAACAGTAAGCAAAGAAAGGGGAGCAAGAAAAGAAAGGAGAGCAAACACAAATGAAACTCTACTTTCTAAGCAGACATAAATCAAACTCAATTTGGGGATGGAGGAAAAAAATGCACAGACAAAGAGCGTGTAAAATATGTTTTATTGTTCTTTAAAAGGGTTCAGGGTTTGGTTTTAAATCAGGCTGCATACCTCTCATCAGTCTGACATCTCTCTCACCATGTCAAACTGGCTTCAGCTAGCAATACTTCATTAAATCCAAAAAAAACTGTTTTACTTTTGAGGAAAAAAATCCAGTTCTGAGAACAATTAACATTAGTCTGTAATTTAAAACAAAATGAGGGCTAATGTTCCATGTTGCTTTATACACCCTTCTCCTCATACAGAACAAGGAATGTAATTTTCCTAACTCAGGCAGGCACTGATACTGACGGACACTGCTTGTGCACATACACACAGACGCACACACAGACAAACACTCACACACCCTCCCCCCATACAACAAAATTCAGAGCACGCCAAAGGGAAAAGGTTTGTTACTGTATTGATCAAAACCCTTGGAGTCAACAGTCAGTCAATCTGATCTTAGAGGGTATGCTGTTTTGATCTTGAGTCTATGTTAAATAAGTCTACTGTCATGTTCTGAAATAAAGAATTTTGGATAGTACCATAATTTTTTACTTTAAAATTCCAGGAACAAGTTCAAAAAGCATTATTTTGTTTTGTGGAATGGGGGAGGAGAGAATCTACAGATTTGCATTTAGTTAAAAATCAAAACAACTCCGGCAATAGGAAATAGGCAGTTCACATGGCCGGCCAACGTCTGAGGTATCATCAGTGTGAGACAGGTCCTGGTCTATTCCCACTGGCCTAGCTGATGCTAACAAAATGAGAAGCTTAGGGCTCTGCACAGCAAATTCCAGCTGGACAAGATGACTCTAAGCATGTATTCAGAGCCTTAGAAGCAGGGCACTATTAGTACGTAATATTTAGGAGAAAAGAGTACAAGAGCCCCTGATGGTGCCCCTCCACTTGCTCTGTCAATACAGCTGGGTCACAACTGTCTTCTGCAAAGGAGTAGAAAAACAGCTTTTCTAAATCAGCACACTGAACCCAGCAAAAAGTCTGCACAAATGGTACTATACCACTTCACAAGCAACACAGTCCCTTTGCTACTCACTGGGTTGCACGATGTCTCTCTTCTACCCTGTTATGGCCTGTGGACACATACTCACTAGGCATTGTTGGTTTTGACCAAGCGATTTTTTCTTTTTTAAAACTCTCAAAAAGAACCTAGTAAGAAAATAACAAGGCAATCAGTGGTTAAACTGAACTGTACATAAGGGACAGTTTGGAAAATACCCATCAAAGGCATTTTTCAAGTCCAAAATTTTGTGAATTTGCTGTTACTGCCTCGACCATTCCTGAAAATTCATAGTACGAATAAGTCCTAAAACAAAAAATTTTAAACTACTAGCATTTCTCTGACATCAGTGTTTGGAAAATACCCATCAAAGGCATTTTTCAAGTCCAAAATTTTGTGAATTTGCTGTTACTCCCTCGACCATTCCTGAAAATTCATAGTACAAATAAGTCCTAAAACAAAAAATTTTAAACTACTAGCATTTCTCTGACATCAGCAGACAGAAAATCAGAGTAATGCTACAGCCCACAATTCTACAGGTGTAGAAAGTGTGCTAACTCTCTGCCCGGACACATCCTTAGTGATGGCCTGGAGCCCTCCCCTTCAGAAAACAAATTTCTGGGATACCCACTTAGCTTCATTGGTTGGGAAAGAGAAGAATTCGACTCTCAGCTAAGTTTCTGAGAAGAGAGACTCCTCTTAAAATGCCACTTCCCCACTAATTAACCAAAACAAAAGGCTCTTGGCTACTTTGCCTAATATTAGATAGGATTTTGAGGAAAAGAAATTAACATGAACACCCCATCATCAGTAAAGACTAAAAATCACCTGGACCATATGATATATGTATATATGCCACTGTTTTTTTTTTTTTTTTGGTTGGTTTTTTTTTTCTAAAAGTGTCCAGGTGGGATTAAGGCTGCCAGACTGCACACAAATCTACAGCAATAAGGGCTTCAATCCTATTCCAGCTACAATTTGTTTATCAGGGGAAATCGGCGGGGAGGGGGAAGGCCATGAGGCGGGTAGTAGGAGAAAGGAGAAAAGAGGGGGAAAATATACCCTTCTCCCCCCAAGAAAGAAGAAAAGAAAATCCCACCACAGGGAGATCTATGTGCCAAGCACAATGAAAGACTGTGCTCCCCAAACAGATGGTTCTGCACAGGCTAATGTTCTACTGGTTTTCTTTAGAGATCTACTTTGAAAACGTTAAAAAAGACAGGAGATTTTGAAATAATTCAATCCTGGCAGAAATTCAAATTCCAAAACTAGGAGCAAAATCATCCTTCACTGAATTAATCCCTTTTTTCTTTCTCTTTTTCTTTTCTTAACATTTTATTTATGTTATAGAGAGATTTCTTTTTTGTTTGCTTTTTTCCAATCATTAGGAGAGTGGTTGAGGAGTACTGAATCCATCACTACTTTGATGACACAGGTTAAGATTCCAGATTCACATTTCCAGGTACCAAGAGTTCCCTCTAAATGCCACAATCAAGTCAGCCTTCGTTTACATTTTTTTCTACTGAACACAGCAATGCCCATTGGTATCTCTGAAGCGTAATCGCATCTTAGGTCGGTATTTCTCCAAATAAAGCAGCTGTTTGGAATTGAATGCTCCCCTTCTTTTTCTGAAAATACAAGAATGGCAAACTTTATCATGTAAAAAAATAAGAGCTCTCTGATTCACTGAAATGCATTATTTTAAGGCCTAAGGCCTTTCAAACTAACTACATACAGATGAGAACCAGCATATTTCCCATAACACCACGTCTTAAAAGAGCTAAGATGCAACATGAACTTTCTGAGCCTTCCTAGAAGAATACAGATTTTCTTCACTGTCATTACAGTCTAGATAAGATAGTTTGTCAAGAGACACACATCTGACTACACTCTTCCCGATTAATATATTCTTCAGATTAGAATTGGTAGCAAGTATTTAGGATGCTCAAAAAAACAGACAAAAATGAGTAAGCAGGCTCAAGATGCACAGATGGCATTCCTAATTGGTAGCAAGTATTTAGGATGCTCAAAAAAACAGACAAAAATGAGTAAGCAGGCTCAAGACGCACAGATGGCATTCCTAAAAATGTTACCTTCCTAGAGCTGCTATCATTTCATGCCCTCTGTCATGAGTACTCTTTTTCCTTTCCTTTTCTTTCTTCTTTTAAAGAAAGGGTTGAAAGGGAAAGGGCAAGACAATAATTGCCAAAGAACTTTAGACAACAAAATAGCATGGCCTATTATTCCAAACCGATGCCAAGATTCTGTCTGGGCACTAACATCTTGATTTTGTGCCTGAACAGGTCACTTAAGAGTCCCAGATGACTAAGTGCTCCCCTATACATTCTTGCCTCTTGGTCACAGAGAGATGCATTTGGAAGGTATTTTGGAATCTATCCAAAGGGGCACTAGATCAATGAGACTCTACCTAGCTATTTTCAAGATTTCTGGATACTCAAATTATATACTGGACATATTCTACAACATCCAAATTGGCCACCCAAATTAGAAAATCTTTAAATCTGGGAACCAATAGTATCACCTCTTTATCACTTGCTCTAAATTTTTTGCATCTTCAACAACATTTTAAGCCAAAGACAGCAAATGAATACTTTCCATAATTCCTTCCTCACGCACGATCTGGTTTTATGTGTTTCTTAACATAAAACTTCATACTCACTGTCTTATAAACTGAACTGCATCTTCGTACTTCATTCCACATTCGATCAAAGCAAGTGCAACCAGCACAGGTGCCCTGCAGAGAAACCCACTTGTTAATATCCACAAATCTTTGGAATTAAAAGATTTTTAAAAACCCAGAATTACATATTACCAAACAAAGCAAAGCCTGAGCTTTCCATTTTCCTATACAGTAAAATATATTTTCCTATTCAGTAAAAATATCTCTATCATAGTTCCTATGATATTATCTATTTATAGTAATGCACTAAATTCTAAACCTATGAAAAAGACCTTTACTCTTTAAAACACCACCACATAATACCTCAAATTTCCTCATCACTATATACCATCAAAAATTCTTCACTGTTCGGGGGCCAGCCCAGTGGCGCACTGGATAGTGCGCCGCTTGGGAAGCACGGCGGCGCTCCCGCCCGAGGGTTCGGATCCCACATACAGACCGGTTCCCGCTCACTGGCTGAGCGAGGCGCAGGAGCAACACCGAGGGTTGCAATCCTGTTGCCGGTCCCCGGTCCGGTACGGGGGCAACACTGAGGGTTGCGATCCGTTGCCGGACACGGAAAAAAGACAAAAGACAAAAAAAAAAAATTCTTCACTGTTCATTAGCCATTATCACAGTAAAATAAATGGCCAAACATATTATGAATCTCAAGTGTCTCAGAATTTTCATTACAAATAGATTTTAATATTTCCTTATCAAATGCTAAAAAAAGTAGTAGACTTTGCCAATAAAATTCTTTTGATGAGCTAGGAAAGTGCCAAAGAACTAGTCATTAAGAATAGTTTGTCGGGGCCGGCCCAGTGGTGCACTGGATAAGTGCGCCGCTTGGGAAGCGCGGTGGCGCTCCCGCCCGAGGGTTCGGATCCCACATGCGGACCGGTTCCCGCTCACTGGCTGAGCGAGGCGCGGGAGCGACACCGAGGGTTGCGATCCCGTTGCCGGTCCCCGGTCCGGTACGGGGGCAACACTGAGGGTTGCGATCCGTTGCCAGACATGGAAAAAGACAAAAGACAAAAAACAAAAAAAGAATAGTTTGTCCATATTTTTAAAAAATCTAACAAAGGAAATGATGTTTTAAAAAAGTCCATTACAGGGCACCAACTTTGGACTACCTAACTAGGCTAGCTACTAGTAATATTGCCCCAAGTCAAGTTACAACACTATCTTCAGCCTTCAGGATAATGACTGAAACTTCTGACCTTATGAAGAAACTGTAATATACTAACATACAAAAAAGGAAAATAGCAAACAAAAGTAATAAGCGGGGCTAACAGCCTGAGTCACCACCACCTCGAGGCAATGGCAGCCTGTACTAATGTTATGAGTCAAAGTGCACATCATAAAGTGGCATTTAATATGCTGATGAAAGTGTTGCAACACCATTCCAAGCAATGCTTGGGAGAAAAGTTTTTAAAATCAAAAGTCCTTTCTTATTGTCCATACATCTCATTTAAAGAATTTAAAGTTCAGCCATCTGCTCTCTACCTATTAACTTTTCATTAATTTCAATCCAAAATTAACCATGTATAAATTCTTCAAACTCTGAAATGACTTTAGTTTTGTTGCCCATTTCAATGACCTTTAAACCTTTGATTACTTCAAAAGGAGAAAAAAATAAAACACCCACTAAATCCAGTGTGGCATCCAAATCTGATAACCAGATGAAACACCAAAGACTATTCTGAGAAATCATATCCTTTCCTTTCAGGTAATTTAATATTATTTAGTGCAGTACATGCAAATTTCTCCCAAAGTGAAATTTTCAACTGGCTTACTTAGGCATGATAATGAATTCATAGACAAAAGGGTAAGGGCTTACCTTCCCAATCCTGCAACACAATGCACTGCAACACAGCAACCTGGCTCTTCACGAAATTTGGTTTTTAACAGGTTTAGCCAATCATCTACTATCTGATTAGGGGGTGGAGCTCCATCATCAAATGGCCAATCCTGGAAAGAAATGACCCATTACATTATATTGATATTTTCTCCAGAATTAATACCCTAATGTAAAATGGCTGCACTCAGTACACAGGGCAGGCTTAATTGAACTAACTGTACTCTAGCTATACTTAACACAATTCTGATCATTGCTGAAAAATTATCCAAGACAGAATTTAAAGTATGTCAAATAAACGAGTCTCAATGAAGTGCAGTCAGTGTAGTACACACTTAAATTTATCATATGGAAATCTCTTTATCAGAGTCCTAAGAGCTAGTATTCTCCCAAGTATTATATCTGAAGAGAGTAGTATTTAGACATAATAGAGAAAACTATAAAGCCAAAACAAAGTAAGAGAGGACACAACACATGTCAACATGATTTAAAAGTCAGCTCTAGCAAAGTGTATCAACTGATGTCTCACTGGTCTCTACAAATACTTTTATGGATTATACCCCAGATGACTCTTAAGTTATGACATCTATTTTTTTAAAGAAAGGTTCTCTGATAAGAAATCTCCAATTGTTAATAAATCATAACAGATACATACTATCATCTCTGTGCTTTTTTTTTTTAAGTAGAAAATATTTTTTAAAGCTCTGTATAAATTATACATATCCTATTTAACAAGGAAAGTGCTATATGATAGGGTCCTGAACAAATGGAGACGATTTTCTCAAGTATCTGTTTCTCTTTTTGTATTCATCAATTTGGGTTATCTTTCAATTAAGAACAACCCCACCTCACAGTACAAGCAGGTGTTTATCTTCCTTACTAACCAGCTAGAGGTCCTAAAAAAAAACAATACAAATGGAGCTGAGAGGGTGGGTTCCGCATTTTACCCACCTTTTCTCCTCCCATCAAAGCTTCAAGGATAGAAATGCAAAAACATTGCAGGAATTTTTTTTTTTTTAAACATAAGGCTACTCTAACAGGATTGGATAAGGACACTTTAAGATACTAGAGAAGGAAAAAGAGAAAGGTGAGAGAACACTAAATTGATTCTACACTCATTACTGGCATCACTAGAACACCTCATGTAGTCCATTAGCCATGATAGCACATTATGTTCAAGTTGTCAGCTACACCCTGTAATTAAAGGGCTGTCAATATTACTATAAATGTCACTACAGAGTTTAAGTGTAAACAGCAGTAAAACTAGTAAAGCACCTTAGTTGAGAGCAGTAAAACCAGTAAGCACCTTATTAGAGAGCCTACCTCCTCTAAAATGCATGTAGTTAAGAAGCAATGATATAAAATGTGTTCACTTATTCATATAGTTTCTATCAAAAAAATCATTAATAACTTAGAAACCTCTGAACCTTAAACTGACACAGCTGAAACCAATATTAGTCTATTCCAAGGTGCCTCTGATTTGCAAGAGCAGGACTGAAAGGTCTTATTTGGGGTATATTCCCTTGCAGTGAAATGTTCCAAACCCTCTTCACCTTGCAAAAGTAAATTAACTCCATTTTAAAATCTCTGTCCGCTCCCGCCCGAGGGTTCGGATCCCACATACAGACCGGTTCCCGCTCACTGGCTGAGCGAGGCGCGGGAGCAACACCGAGGGTTGCAATCCCGTTGCCGGTCCCCAGTCCGGTACGGGGGCAACACTGAGGGTTGTGGTCCGTTGCCGGACACGGAAAAAGACAAAAAAGAAAAAAAAAAAAAAGACAAAAAAAAAATCTCTGTCTGAGAAAAAGAGAGAAATTCCAAGCTTAATGCTAAATGTCCTTGTTTTTTTCAAGCATAAGTTAGACCTTTAATTTTATCTGATCACAGCTATTTAAAACAAAACAAAAACCTAAATTTAAGGACCTGGAATAAATTCGACCTATCATCACCTTCAACAAACTAGTTCAAGGTCTTTAGTTCATTTCTATTTCACAAAGGTGTTTACCAACATTACTGATTCGAAGACTATGGTCAATCCAAAGTCATTTTCCCACCCTGCCATCTGTCAAAACAAGTTGATTTCTCATCTACCCACTACAGAACATACTCACAACACAGGGAAAGACTTGTATTCAGCTTAATTTCAGAAGCTTAAGTTTTGGGGTTTTTGCTTTTTAAACACAGGGCTGCATTTTACATGTTTACATTTATCCCCAGCGATTTCCAGCCGGTGAACCATAAAGCCATTTAGAAATGGGAATGCAAGCAAATTATTACCATGCCAAACTATTAAAACACATTTTTTAAAAACATAATGGGGCTGGCCGTTCGCTCAGCTGGTTAGAGTATAGTGTTGATAACACCAAGGTCAAGGTTCTGATCCCCTTACCAACCAGCTGCCCCCCAAAAAAACGTAATTTTTGTGTTTTCACAAAAATGAAGGTGAGTAAACTTTGCGTATCATCAGGTATGAGATGACTGCCTTACCAACAAGACATATATTCTCTTTGCACGAACTGCCTTCCCAACCACTGACCCATGTAATAAAGACTACAGAACTACCTCTCAACAAGTAGCAACTTTAGAGCACGGTATTAAACACCAAGATCAAGGGTTCAGATTCTCATACCAGCCAGCTGGGGAAGGGGGGGGTGCAGGTAGTAGAAGCATAACCTTGAACCAATATCTTCCTTATTACTTTTCTTCCTACCCAACTACTCACAGAAATCTCCAGTTCCCTACCTACTATTATATTGCCTTCCCACAATCAAATCAAATAGTTCTAAGACACCCAAGACTACAAGGTCAATTCATTCATTATGTGTTCCTAAAAGCTGCTCCTGTCATTTATTTATTTATTTATTTATTTTATTATTTTTTTTAAGATGACCGGTAAGGGGATCTTAACCCTTGACTTGGTGTTGTCAGCACCGCACTCTCCCGAGTGAGCCACGGGCAGGCCCTGCTCCTGCCATTTAGATGACCATTTACATAAGAAAGTATAAAATTTTAATGAATCTGAGGCTCCTGTTTTCTATAACGAAACAGTATATTCGCTACTAAAGAGGAATTTAATTTAAAAGAATAACAATAAGCTTGTGTTCAAATTGAACTATGAAAAGAAATCTAATCACACAAAAGCTTCTCGAAGCCTACCAAAAACCAGAAAGTGCCAGAAAACTATGCTGATTACCTTCTCCCTCTCCTCTATATCTTCTCCCACCTTTACCTCCTACAAGTTATCCACAAAATATTAACTAACTAATCTTATACCCACAAAGTGGCAGAGTATATTCCCATATGTGACTTAAGAATGTCTAATGGAAATTACTTTCAGTTATCTTCAAACTAGTAGTCTAGAAACAAAAGCTAAATACTGGGGTTTTTTGGTGTTTTTTTTTTTAAGATGACCGGTAAGGGGATCTTAACCCTTGTCTTGGTGTTGTCAACACCACACTCTCCAAGTGAGCTAACCAGCCAACCCTATATAGGGATCTGAACCCGTGGCCTTGGTGTTATCAGCACCACACTCTCCCAAGTGAGCCACGAGCCAGCCCCAATATTGCATTAATTTTTTAAAGAACACAAAACACAAATTTCCATTTTCTTGAAATAAGTGTGCCCTGAATTTTGCTTTCTATTTGTTGAAAATATCCTGCATTTGTAGACTTTAAGGGCAAAAATTAACAAAACTGCGACGGAATTGAAAGGAATTTCAAAAAGCTGCTATTGATACTGTATCTTCTATCATAAGCTCAAAAAGCAAAACTACTGAGTGCCAAGTTTTATAAATATCTAGGTTTGAACAGTAGAACTTGTTTGTAGTAAAATATTAAAACACTACACACTCACTAGAACATGGATTCCTTCTTTTTCAACTGGAGCTTTATCATATGTAGCATCACAAACTCGAACCAAAGTTGTCACTCCATACTTCTTAAGTTCCTTTAAAGAAAAACAATTATAAGGGAACTTACCTTTGCTGCATGTTTTAAAACCAAAAATCTTAGAAATGTACTGCTATAAATTGAAACAATGAGGTATCATTCTTAGACAAAGACCAAAATTATTCTCACTGTGGTAACATATATAACACTCATGCACTCTCAGTGGTAGTGTAAATAAGACTCTTCTAAAGGGCAACTTGGTAGTGTAACACAAACACTTTAAAAGTTCACATACACTTTGACCTAGAAATTCTACTTCTGGGAATTTATAAAAAGGAAATAATTAAAGAGTAAAGGAAGTAAGGCACATCCATTTAGTGAATGCTATGACAGCTATGAAAATAATACTAAGGTTGGAGGAAGATTTGGTTAAATATATAGTGTGATCCTATCTATATGTATATTTATTTTTTTTATTTTATTTTTTTTTAATTTTTATTTTGTCAATATACAATGTATATGATTATTATGGCCCTTCACCGACACCTCCCGCCCTCCTCCCTCTCTCCCCTCCCCCCCAAGAATGTCCTTTCCGTTTGCTTGTTGTAACAACTTCAAAAAAAAAGTATAGTAGTTATATCTTCTTCCCCACCCCCACCCCCGGTGTTTTTTTTTGTGTGTGTGTGTGTTTGTGGGTAAATTAATTTGTTTATTTTTTTTAGCTCCCACCAATAAGTGAGAACATGTGGTACTTCTTTTTCTCATCCTGACTCGTTTATATGTATATTTATAAATGCATATATGCAGAGAAAAAATGTCTAGAAGCCAGGTATTAAAATTAAGTTTTTAAACTGTCTTTTTGCTCATCCATATCTTCTGGTTTTTATGTAATAAGCACTTATTGCTTTTTTTAATTTAAAGAAACAATAAAAGTAATTTTAAAAGAGAAAAAGTTATATTATATTAAAGGCCAGCTAATGCACAATTATAGCCAGAAGCCTTGATCCTTTAAAACCCTTCCTACAGTGACTGCTTAACCCAGTGACTATCTTCAAGGGGCCACCAACATCTTTTTATAGTTGCAGGAGAACAGCAGCCTCTGCCATTTTGGAGTCTGTGGCCAAGGAATCCACAGGCTGAAAATAGTATTATGTAATTCAACCAGGCTTAAAGGTGACTGAACAATCTGAGGGCACAGAGTCCTGGATCAACTTGTACACTGTGCACACTCAGGGAAGTGTAAGTATAAATAAGCAGGAACAGTGATATCCTACAAGAAGTGTCCATCATTCAGTTACCTAAGGAGTAAAGTTATTTTAATTGCTAAACGACTTCATTTTTCACAGAAAAGCCTTCTTATAATACCGACTCAGGAAAGCTGACATATTATATTGAGTCAGGAATTTTAAAAATAAGTTTCAAATTACAAATAAAATCCCATTAAGATGAATTCCATAGTAGCCGTTCATTAAAAGGTAGCAATAGAATTTTTTATGGTATTTGTGACCTTAAGCAAGGCAAAACGTCTTTTGGTGCTGGCTTTGCCATCTATAAAATGAGAATCCCTAGGAGCACATCAGGCTCTCTAAGTCTACTCCATAAATACATCAACAAAAACCATGCTTAGATTGAAAACCTGGAAATGATTAAAAAATTTACATGCAAATGTTTGCTGAATAATGTATACAGAATTTCTCTACTATCAATAGAAAAAAAAATTAAGAATCTGACAAAATGCTACCTATAACACCTTTTCTTCTCCTAAGTTTCTGGACCCTTGTATATGATGATTACGGTCGCTATGTAGTTTTGGGGTGGCTTTTCATCAAAGTGGTAAGAACATTTGAGGTATAACATGGGTCTTAGTGTCAGAGACCTAGGTTTGTATACCACTTCTACTACCACATACTATGTGCCATTAGGCAAATTACTAAATGGCTCTGAACCTCAGTTCCCTCATTTGTAAGAGGGAAATAATAATGGCACCTATACCTCATAGGGTTTTTGTATTAGTGACCTTAAGCACAAACACTGCTTATTGTAATGCTGGGTATATACAGCGTTCAATAAATGTTAATTATTTTTATTACTGAAAGTACAACAAAAGAACTCTTAATAAATGTAGAAAGGACGCAAGAAAAAACATAGTACTAGATAATCTCTACAGTTTCCCCAAATTCCATAAATGCTCTTTTAAAAATCTGTTGTAACTAATTCAATGCACCTCAAACCAGGATTGGTAGGAAGGATGTCCATCCATACTCCAATCACAGAAATAAATAGCTTTGTGATAAGAGAATTTTTAATAATAGTATTAATTCTCAATGGTATTTTACCTATTAATCCAAAAAGCAGACCACGCTACAATCTTACCTCTGTGAACTTGTTGAGAGTAGCATTGGTAGGGTTGTGAGTTATCAGAAAACGCATGTTCTCATAGGAGATCTCCACAGGGGCTGGACGGTTCATTATGGCAAATTTAAAAAGTGAGCGTGCGTGCGTGTGTGTGATGGGGAAAATAAAGGAAAAAAAATCAATAAATCTTGAAATGTTTCACAGCAGAAAACATTAAAAAGACCACTAAAATGCCTATTATCGATCAGTGTTTTCTCTATTCAACTTGTTTATTCCTTATGAAGCTTCTCTCTTCAAAATATGCAGTATTTAGAATCCACTCGAATCCAAATTCAACTTGGGCCTCAGTGTCTGCAGATGGATACCTTCAGACTCCAAAAAAAAAATCCAACTACATACAAAACTTAAGCAGCCTTTACTACATTTAGGCACTAGTGAGAAAAGTTAAAAGTGTAGGTCGCGTTCCACTTTTGTTTACTTGATGCTTAATTTTACTGGAGTCATTAAAAGAAATACACTTGCAATTAAAAAAAAAAAAAAAAGCAAACTATTTCTGAGGCCAGTCTCGGTGTCCAGAGTCTTCAAGGCAATGTTAATTATGGCACATAGAACCCCCAAGCTCACTTGTCAGCAAAAACGCTGTGCTGAGCCTGGCAGAAGTCTGCCCTCACGCTCAGAATCGCCATAAATGTGCAACGTATATTCCAACGAAAAACCTAGGGGAGAAAAGCATAAGTAAAATGAACTGGAGTTGACAGTATAATAAACACAACGTTTGAAGTCAAGAATACATAATTTACAAGCCCAAAGACGTGTGAGATGTCAGCAATTCTAAATTATTGTCATCTATGAAGAATAGAATAAAAGAATTGGATATACCAAGAGTTTTAAAAGTCAAAGACTCAAAATTATGTCTTTTTCAAAACTGGGTTCAACAAAGTTTCTGTACGAATAAGATTATTTCTAACAAATCATGTTTTTTTTTTTTTCGGACCAGTAAGGGGATCGCAACCCTCAGCACGGTGTGGTCTGCACCACGCTCAGCCAGTGAGTGCACCCGCCATCCCTATATAGGATCCAAACCCACGGCCTCGGGGCTACCAGCGGCCACACTCTCCTGAGTGAGCCACGGGCCCAGCCCAACAAATCATTATTAAATGGCTGAATTTTAAATTCATTTAAATCATTTCAAATTATTAACAGGTATTTAAAGAAACCTTCCCTCCACAGACTCTTCATAAAGTTCAAAGATCTGTTTATTTTTCTGCTTTGATGGTTAGGTCCTTTACATATACTCTTTGCTTAATGTCTGTCAATGGGTGGAGGATATTTACCAGAATTCTACTTTGAGGAATTCTTTCTATCCATAGTATATGCACTGACCCTAATTGTGATACTAGCTCATAAAGCACTTTGTAAAAAGTATTCCTTTTCTTCACAACTCTGAGTAGTTGTTACCACATATGAGGAATGAAGAAAGAGGATCAGAGAAGTGAAGTGACTTGTCTAAGGTCACACAATGAATTAGTTGAGCCCATCTTCAAACCCAAGTATTTTGTTGGTCCCATGTTTTTTCCCATGTACCACAATGTCTGCTGACTCAACTAATGTATAAATCCCATCCTCTCATTTCTAGTCCAGTTTACCTTTTCACTATTTCTCATATCACTACCTCAAAAGTACAAAATCATCTGAAGGTCACTGATTAACACAGCATTCTCCTCCCCAACTATTAACCCTACCAAAAAACAAGGCAAGAAAGTGAAGTGACAGAATTTTATATTATTTTAGGTCTTCTGCTTTGAAACAGTAATCTTTACAGCTGGCTCAGCCAGAGAATGTCAACATTATCATAAATTCCTATGGGAACAGGCACAAGGTCTAAATTCTTTCACCTGCCTCTTCCCTAAGCCACACGAGAATCTGGGCTTACAGAAGAATAGGTTTTATTCTTTTACCCTCTTTTTTTGTGACACTCTAAATGTCATTTTATTTTGTAAGCTGCATACTTGCGGTTATATTACCATGGGCATGAACACAAAACTAAAACATTCCTAAAATACAAAAGACACATATGAAATTCAAAATGGCAGTCTAAGAATTTCAATGGTATTAGCAGAATGAATTACCCACTACAGTAAAAACACAAAATTTCTACAATGAAAACTAACAAAAACAAAATTCACACTACCACTCTTCCTCATAATTCTAACTAAAACCCCCAAACATAGCTACCTTAGATTACACAAAAAAACATTTCATAGAGTATTTTTTGTAGTCAAGGAATTTCAGAGCTTAGAAAAACGTAGCAATCAACTTCTCTGACCTTTAAAAAATAAATAAAAATAAATTTTAAAAACTTAAAACTTTTTCAAAATAAAACAAAACAAAGATGTTTGGGTCCAGAGAAGTTGAATGACTTAACTAAGACCACAATGCTAATTAGTAGCAGATCAAGGACAAGAACTCAGGTCTCCTAACTCCCTACTTATTTTTCCTTCAATTTTGGAGGTTCCCACATATTTTTCTAGTCACAATCTTTTTCATATAAGTGTAACTTTTCTTAAAATATCTGCTTGGCTGTTCATTTGCAACTCTGTGACCTTACAATAAGGGGGGAAATTGATTATTAAAGTAACTACTCAAAGAACAATGGTTTTGCATGTGGGGCAGAGCAAAACACAAGGAAATTCTAACCTGTTTGAATCCCTTTGGTTCAATGATGTTATCACAGCAAATGTGTATCAGCTGAGTAAGGGCACTGAAAGACTGGCATTTGTAGTGATGGCCAGGCTTCAAAGGTTACAGCTCTAGCATTAAGTTTTCTACCTAGCCTTCACTGTTTGTTCAGCAAACAGAACAGCTTCATCCCATCTTATTCCTCCAACCCCACTTTGGAAGGACCATTTCCAGGGATAAAGATAATTAATTATTAGATTTGTCAATTCTTAATACTAAGAACCCCAGCAAAGGAATTTCTGCAAAAAGAAACAGTATGTTCTATCACGGTTAACAGATACATGATAAAAGCAAGCTTCTGTTCCTCCCCTCCCCCATGAGTTCAACTACACATCAGCAGTTAAATTCTTGCACCTGTCAATCCAGATAAACTAATGTTAACTTCTCTAACACACTTAAGAATGCAAAGAAAACAACCTGTACAAAATCATAAACAACCTATTATGGCTGGAAAGTACTCAAAAGTTGCAGAGCCCTATATTTTAGCATAAATTCAGCACACATACACCATACAGGAAAACTTTCTTCTAACATTGTCTCTCTGGCATTAATTCTACTCTACCCACTTAAGTAAAAATTGATTATTGTTTTAATTTACTAGGTGACAGAAGAAGCTAGTTTACATGACACATAACAGCAAATTCAAACATACACCTAAATATTCTCTCCACCTTTTATCTTTTACAGAACCTAACTTTTAAAAAAATGTTGAACTTGGGACATTTCCATTTCCTAGGCAACATTTCCATTTAAACAAAAGAATATAACTTCACCGAAAAATTAGGAAAAAAAAAGATCTGTGACAGAGAAATCCTTTCAAATTATTATTATTTGGTGGTGGGAGTACGGGGGTCTGAACCCTTGACCTTGGTGTTATGAACACCACACTCTAATCAACTGAGCTAACCAGCCAGACCTCTTTTTTTTTTTTTTTTTTTTTTAAGATGACCGGTAAGGGGATCTTAACCCTTTACTTGGTGTTATCAGTACCACACTCTCCCAAGTGAGCCATGGGCCGGCCCTAGCCAACCCTCTTTTAAACTAAGAAGGTGAAAGAGGGAGGGAAGGGATAAAGAGAAAAAAGGAAAAAAAAAAAAAGAGGAGGAATCTAGAAGAAGAGTAAGTAGAATCCTAGCAAGCTGAGATAGTGCATTGACAATAAGACTAAATCAATAACAAAACAAAAACTACTTAAAACTTTGAAGAAGGGTATGTTAGAAAGAATTTAAATGTTTAGTATCAACACTCCCTGCTAATACCTACCTAGATGAGAATCTAAAACTGAAATGCATGAAACAATATAATATCCATCATTTAATCATGGCACATTCTTAAAATAGAAAACTACACAGAGATTAAAAAGAATAAAACACCGGGCCGGCCTGGTGGCGCACTGGAGAGTGCGCAGCTTGGGAGCGCAGCGGCGCTCCCGCCGAGGGTTCAGATCCCATGTGGAGACCGGTTCCCGCTCACTGGCTGAGAGCGGTGCGGGCGCAGCACCGAGGGTTGCGATCCCGTTACCGGTCAGTAAAAAAAGACAAAAAGGAATAAAAAAAAGAAGAAGAAAACAGCATGGTGCTGATAACACCAAAATCCAGGGTTCAATCCCTGTACCAGCCCAGCCACCAAAAATTTAAAAAAATAATAACAAAACATCTATATGAACTGATACAGAAAAACAGCTAAAAGACAGCACTAATAAGAAAAAATAGAAAGGTACATAACAGTATGAACAGTACATTTAGAAATATTTGTGAATATTGTATATGCTATCATATCCATGGACTACCTGAAAGGTTACAAAAATAAGAGGTAATAGTGGTTTACGGGGGGCGGGGTGGGGGGAACAGGATTGGAGGCTGGAGGTCAGGGAGCATGATTTACTTTATCATAACATACCTTCTGAACTGTTTTAATTTCTTCCGTGTACACATATTACCCTTTTATAAAAAAACTAGGGTGATAAAGAACTCTATAATGATTTACAATTTAACTATCTTCTTTTTTTTTTTTTTTTTTTTTTTTACCTTTTTGTCTTTTTCTGTGTCCGGCAACGGATCGCAACCCTCAGTGTCGCCCCCGTACCGGATCGCCGGCAACGGGATCGCAACCCTCGGTGTTGCTCCCGCGCCTCGCTCAGCCAGTGAGCGGGAACCGGTCTGTATGTGGGATCCGAACCCTCGGCGGGAGCGCCGCCACACTTCCCAAGCGGCGCACTATCGCAGTGCGCCACCGGGCCGGCCTTAACTATCTTCTTGACAGTGCTATAATCATAGGATTAGAAAGAGCTTCCAAAGGGCTAGTCCCTCTGTCCCAGGCAGGCCTGTACCTACACAATTCAGAAAGTTTTCTTTTGTTAAAGATACAAAATAACTGAGAAAAATCTATGTCCTACCTTGGCAACTGTAATTCTAAATTCAAATACAAATACAGCAAATTCAAAGGTATGAGAGAATTTTATAAAAGCAGCCCCCATTTAATTTAACCCAGTCTTGCTAATCATCCTTTTAAAAATCATACCAATCTACTCCCGTCAACTTTTCCACTGAGAAATCACCTCTTTATACTTCCAAATTAAATGATACAATAAACCTAATTTGATGAGCTATGCCAGTATTCACCAAATTAAAATAGCACATTATAATATAAATGCACAATAAAAGAATTCTAGATATAATAAAATCTAAAAGTAAAGGTCTGAAGAACAAGCAAGCATATATTTACTGTGTTACTTACCAGAAATTCTACAGGAAGTCATGCAAATTTGAGTCAGCTTGGTTTCTACACCCAGGCAACATGAAAGTATAATACTATATATAAGACTAAAACCTTGCAACAATTTTTTTCTAAAACAAATTCATTTCACATCAATAAAGAACACCCGCACTTCCCCTTAAAATAAGTACAATAATGTAATCTGTCAATAATATTTATCCCATGAAGAGCTAGACATTTTCCTTGCAAAGATCTAGTTAAG